TGCAAGAAGCACAACCTGGACTCAGTTTAGTGTTCTGAAAAAAACAGTGTTCATTACTAACTTATTGATTTAAGAAAAAAAATCACCCATTTATTTTTTCCATGTTCTGTATATGACTCCAAAGTTGATTTTTTTTCTTTTATCATGGCTAATATGTATCTATTTTTCTCTACCATCATTATAATTTTCATATCTCAGCTCTGAAGTTACTTTTCTTTCTGTTTTCATATCTTTCAGCCTTATGTTATTGTAGAAATGGGTTGCGAAAAGGAAGCAAGGAAACTCATGTCTCGAAGTATGCTGGTGAGATCATGCTATGAAATATGGTAAGCTTATTTGTATGTTTTTGTTGTTGTTGTTGTTGTTCTTGTTGTTTAAGAATATGTTAGAATAGAAGTGGAAAAAGAATTTAAAGGTATGAAATAAAAGACTGGGATGCCTTTGATATTGCAAAAGTAAACAGACATAGATAGACAGAAGAAAATGAAGAGTACTTAAGTTCCTCATTCCCTCATGTGATCTTTCTCTCCTCTAGGGGCCAGGGTGAGACCGAGGAAGAGCTCCATGCCAGTGTAAAGAGTTTTCCACTCGAGTTCATCCAGCCACACATCACCCGAGACAAGACATTCAAAGTCAGGGTGGAGACCTTCAATAAGACACTCAAGAATGCCGAGAAGCTCAAGAAAATAGAGGTGAGTGATGCTTCATCACTCATTTATTCCTTCACTGAAAAACTGTCACCTATTCATTGAAAAAAGCTATATTGTTTAGTTGTATCATCAGTCATGTTCTTTATGTTGCTATTACTTGCGTGAGTGTTTGTGTTTAAGGGCACACGAGCATGTATGGGAGCATATTTATGTATTTGTATGTTGTGTGTGTGTGTGTTTGTGTGCATTTCTATACATACACAATTCTGTTTTCTATTGAAAATGTGTTTAGAATTGTTACCAAAGCTGAAGATTAACCTCTAAGTGTATATTATATGATTATTATATAGTGTTCTGTACATTCATAATGCTTAGATTTTTATCTTGTATAGTCTTTCAGTTACTTACCCTTTGAGGGGAATGTGAATTTGAGAAATGCAGACACTTGCCTACACCTGATTGAGTACTATGGTCTACACCCAATATTGTACAGAAGAAAGCCTTATAAAGTAAGTAAAGACCTTTGTATTTGGTCTATTGGGCCCTGCATAAATATGAGTATGAGATAATTATCATAAAATAGGTTCAATTTCTGTAAGATGAATTTTATTTGAAGGTGAAAATACCTAGTTTCATTCTTTTTCAGGATAACACTTTTATCTTTGGTGTATCTTATGTTTAGGTTCAAAGACATGAATTTTTGGAAGTTGATATTCATTTACATGTAATATAGGTGACCTCATATGCTGTGGTGACTCTATTATTATACTGTTCTCGTCTTTTTTTCAAGTTGATATGAATCATCTCATTTATTATATATACCATTAAATTTATATCTCATATATATCATTCTTTAATCCTCCGTCTTTTTTTTCTTTCTTTTTTTGTAACAAGATATTCTTTGGAAGATGGATCACAGATGGGCAGAGAGAACTGATTGACAAGTTTTCGCTTAAGAAGAGGACTTATATTGGGAGCACATCCATGGATCCGCAGCTCTCCTTCATCATGGCAAATTTTGCGCAAGTCCAGGCAGGGAAGTGGTGGTAGATCCATTTGTGGGCAGGTGAGATTGGGTTTTAGTGTGCTTTATTATCATTATTTGTCTTACCAATTTTATTTATATGATTTCACTGTATTAATTCTATTTGTTAATACTGGGTTGTGATTTTTTTATACACTTAATTCTAGCTTTTTACTGGTATTTTCTTTTAATCTATTTTTTACCAAAATGGCTGGATTTCCTTATATGACTGATATTTGAGATGTTGATCGTTAGTCCTCTCATTACTTATGCTTACCTTTTGAGATGTATTCATTTATTTTTTTCCTTTCCTTTTTTTCAGGTTCTGTGTTAGTTGCGGCTGCACATCGAGGGCATATGTTTGGGGCTGGGATATAGACTACCTCACACTACATGCAAGAACAAAACCCACTCGACATAGTCAGGTATGTCATGGCATTGTCATAGTAAATCTTATACTTTTTCTTTCTTTGGGGATTTGGAAAAATAAGTATTCTGCTAAAGCACCTTGAAGATTCTTAAACAGAAGTTATTGTTCGCAGAAACAACGTGCTGCTGAAGAATCAATCCGTAGCAATTTGAAACAGTATGGATTAGAAAACCAGTATATGGATGTTTTGTCATGGATAATGCAAGGCCGTTTTGGAGAGGAGCTCCGTATGTCGATGCAATCATAACAGATCGTAAGACATCATAGTTTCTGTCTTAATGGGTGTGATAGCTGTTATTATAACAAAAAAATTATTAATTAGAAAATAAAGAAAAGTTTTCCTAAAATATACTGCAGCTTACAGCTTTTTATATGATAAGGAATTAAAAGAACAAAACAACTAATCACACTGAACAGATACAGTTCATAATTATCTTTATTAATTTCCAGCACCTTATGGGATCCGAGAATCAACAGAGCGAGTTGGGACATTCAAGAATCTAAAGGTGAATGAGGAGGGGCCAAGCAGCAGGTTCCAGCAGCACAGCACTTCCCATCCAAGATTTCGTACAGCCTCTCGGATGTGTTCCGCGATCTCATCAATTTTGCCGCAACCCATATGGTGATAGGGCAGACTTGTCTTTTGGTTGCCTGTGTTTAGGTATGTTAATTGATATAGGGGCTTTTAAAACACTGAATTTAGGAGGTGAGGTGAGGAATCAAAATATGATTTAAACACTTGGAATACTGGCAAATAACATAAAAAAAAAAAAAAAAATGTAGTTTCATCAGTTTACTAATGGAAAACTTATCATTATAGAGAAGATTACCATGAGGGGTTGGTTCCTAGTCATCCATGTATGGAACTTGTATCAACTGTGAGCAAGTTCTCACTGTACATTCCAGCAGAAGGCTTATCACCTTACGCAAGACGAGACATCCAGAGGTTTGTTTGCCCAACTGCAATGTCCTCTTGATCTTAATGACATTGTATCATTTGGTTTCTATTTCTATTTTGGTAATAAGACTGTTTTAAGGTAATTGTATTCAGTTTGTATTTTTCCGTTTTTGTGGTTGCAGTCACAAAAATGTAGATTTAAATGTTTGGGAAAGATGAAATAAAAGTACATAGCATAAACTTACTTCTTTACTCACGCACACATGTATACACAAACATACATACACAGTCATGTACAAATATCTACAAGTACTGTAACACCTACATACATTCACACAAATTCTCATACAAGCATGTATATGATCACACATACATTAATACTCATTGAGTATTTCTGCCTATGTATATGCATGCCTTGATACATGAGTACACATACATCCTGAAACAGGGCAATCAAATGAAGCAACCCATAATGGTTGAGATGAGAGTGAATGAGGCCGCGAAGTGAAGACAAGTGAGACATGAAGAGATATGAAGTGAATGAGGGCTGGATGAACTTGGTTTGATCAGCAGTCAGGAAGACAAATGCTGCAGTTCACGTGTACCACCACCTCTGGTGTTAATATTGTTTTTTGGCTGGCTAACCTGCTAATTGTAAGTCCTTAATTGTAGTGATTGTGATTGTACACATCAGTGTCTCTCTGTATGTCTTTCCCCCATGGAGGGATATATTTAAAATGTTCTTTTTCTCCTTCATGTATTCATACATGTAATACGGTTTACAAATCATTTCTTCACTTTATATGCTTAGTTATATAAGGATATATAATAATAGATTACTATAATCTACAAGTAATTAGTGGGAATCATGACCTCTGCCTTCTTAATGCTGTATACGGATGGTCACCTTGCTGCTTCCTAGGCACATCATCTTGCTGACTTTTCTGATCAAATTAGATTCTTCCAGCCCTCCCATTTCCCTACCACATCTGTCTTGTGTCTCCCTGGGCCCTCATATCCCAGCTTATGTGTTTGCTTTTATCTTAATTCTGGAGATGCTTGATTTTACAAGCATTTCAGTGCACATATTCATATATACAGACTGTTTTGTATATTTCTGGATGTGATTTTATGATGTATACATCATCTGTAACTTCAAGAACCATTGCTCTTTCATATTCACAATGAAAAGTTGTATATCTTCCAGTTTTTATATTTTTCTTTAACACCATTTGGATACCCAAATATGATATTCTTTTCTTTCAAGGAAGGGGAAACTGCCACAGCCACAGTGACAGACCTAACAGCGAAGTTCAGAGAGAAGTTTTTCCAAGCCTCGCACATGACCAAAGAGGAGAGAGCTAACATGAAGTGCCTCTTCACGAGACAAGCGAGGACAAGGTCTCGGATCAGATTGACGGAGTCTCAAACCAAACCAGCGGGCCTCAGGATGGTCCCTCAGGGAAAGCAGCCTCTTGTAGCACTGACATGCAGTAGCAGAAACCTCTCTTAGTGAACAGAGAAACTTACCGACAGATAGCTCTGAATGTCCTAATGAATTAGAGAAAGACAGAAGTAAAGAGGAGTGTACTGAAGTCATCAGTGACAAATGCACTTTAAATCAGGAAGAAAAACAGCAAGAAGGCAGAAGAGAGGACACAAGTAGCAGTGATGCTGTTCAGAATGTTGCATAAATTGAGGGAATGTTATCAAGTTTGTTTTAAGAACCAAGTAGTGTTTGTAAATATTTTGTTTAATTTTTTAATTTTTAATATGAAAAATAGAAATCTGTTATTTTTTATGAAACAGTTCTTTGATTATGGTTCATAATCAATTATAATCAATTACAAAACAGTAAGTCTTCACTTGATACAAACTTTCATTTTCCTGAAAAAGATTGAATTCAAGAACATATGGGAAAAAAGTTCAAAGTTGGAAGTTTTTTTTGTTTTTTTTACTTTTCTAATTTCATAAAAAAGGAGTCTTGCTGTAATCTTGTTGATAAAATAACTTGGATTGAAAATGGAATGAAAAACTATACCTTTTATTTGGTATAATTTGTATATGAAAAAGAACCATTAGCAGAAACAGAACATGCTTTCCAGAGGCATTGCCATCCAAGACATAATTAATTAAGCTTGAAAAAAATATTTGCAGTCACACAAGTGTTTTCTGACTTGCAAAATTTACAAACATTTATTTCTAGTACCAAAATCGTGTTTTTTTTTCTAAGGACAATCAGGTGCTGCAATTTTTTTCTTTTTCTTAGACAAGACCATTTTTTTGACAAGGTAGGAGCTAATGGATCGATTATTTAAAATTCCCTACTGCATAATGAAAATCCAATCATAGACAACTTAAGAATTAAAGGACAAAGTAAGGCTTTGTTGTTCAGGTGTGTGGCACACTGGGCAGAATATGGCAAAAATCATCCCTGCTAAAAGAAAAAGAAAAAAAAAAAGCCAAATCATCCAAAATGGAATGGATAGAATTAAAACATTTGGGTATTATAGTACATTAAAGTGTTTTTCATTCTCCATGCAAATAAAGGTCTGAATATAGAATTCTGGTAAGGGCTAAAAGCTTGGGCATGGACAGTCCATTATGCCATTTGGGATTCCTGGACTAGGTGTGCACTTTCTTGGGACTTCACTGATATTATTTTTTTCATTTTTCTTTCTTCCATGTGCAGGGATACCAGAATGGTAGGGACTTAGCATTTATTTTGGGAAAGGCCAGGTAGAGTCAAGCCAGGATTTAGATCTTAACCCAGTGGTGCAGAGTAATTAACACGGTCTACTATCATGTACTTTTGTGAATGGCTTCACAAGTGCTCGAGTACCAAGGAGCAATTAGTAAGCTATGTGTCCTCAGCTGATTTCTCCTTTCCTTGATTGATTGATTTATTGAAAAAATTCTGCCAATTAACATCCAAGGAATTACCGGCATATTCAAAAATATAGCAATACATCAAAGGTCATACTGCAATATGATAAAGTATTGTGGCGAAAAGGTTAAAAATTAGTTAATGATTAGGATAAAATTTGGCAGTGAAGGGTAAAGGGAAGAGCAAACTGAGTACAAATGCCATTCAGGACTGACACAAAGCCAGCCTTTCATCCCTCTTACATTTCAGGATGTGCACAGAAGAAGGGGATAAAGATGAGAAGGAAAAAGGATAGGGGAGAAGAAAAGACCCTGCAGAATTAGTTGAGGCAAGGACTGAAGTCCAAAGCAGGATGATCCCCTACCTTAGACCTCGTCTGTCTCTTTTGGCACCAACGACAATCGAGCAAGGGATTGGGGTGCCCTTCCTTTACTTTTTAGGGGGAAAATATTTTCTTAAAGCCACTCATATAGATATTATCATCATTGTGCTTATTATAATGTTAACTACTATTAGGAATTAAAAAAAAAAAAAAAAAATCAAGGAAAAGGGTAAATTGGTGAGCTAGGTAGGACTAGTAACTGACTCTGTTGATTAAGCCCTTGTGGAGCCATCAGTGTGTAAGGACAATCAATAAACAAAAAGACGTAGCAGACATGACATGCATTCTTGCCATCCCATCACGAGGAAAGCCACTGACTTTGCTTAAGAGTTCCAAATTATTGCTGTTAGAATACTAGGAAACTTAATTTGCATAGTTGTGTTGGATTATTTGTCCAGAAAAAAAGCATTCCACAGAATATTTCCTTTGTAATCAGGGGATCAGTCTCTTTACATACACAGAACAAAAAAAAAAAAAAAAAAAAAGAGACTATAAAATACTTTGTGGTTTTGGAAAGGAAATATTATTACATGAAGACACTGTACTAGTTGCCAGAGAGTATCATCACATCGGTATCACATGCATTCGCAACTTTTTCCTTTGATTTCCATGTAACTGGTCTTGTGGATTATAAAGTTATGTTGATGCTGCCATTCCTATTGACACCAAATATTTCTGACAAATAACATTTAAGTTGACTTTTCATTTCATCATACATACTACCATTCCCAGTCATAGCCACCATCACTAGTCCACAAAAGCTAATTTTTTTTAGAGTAATAATCCAACCTATATTTAAAATTTTTATATTAAAATGCTCACCAGTAACTGCAGTAATGGATATCACACTGTGTAAGTTGATATTTGTTAATGCATTAAAGTCTAAACAGCCATGAACTGTTAAAGAGATCTGCCTTTCTTTTTCCTTCGCGTATTATGGCAAATGCCATATTGTGATGTACTCAAGGGAAAAGAAAAAAATCAATGCACAATATGTATGAAACATTATATGTAATCCAAAACGGCACAATGCTATTAGCCTAATGGTACAGCCATTACAAAGCAGGTAAGGCAGGCCAGTTCTAATATTCCAAAAACATAGTGAAGGTTTTAATAGTTACCAGATAGGCATAAAACACCTGTTCCTTGATATTTATTTACCTTTTTAGATCATAAAATCATGTATATTACAAAACATTCCTCCTTTGTGATATTTAAAAAACTTATGTAGACTTTAGATTCAAATGGTCCCTCCACCCTGTTGGGTCCAGGCGAAATATCTTTGTTAAATGGAAGCAAAAAGCTATCAAATTTTTTTATGTATGGCCATAAACTTCATCTTACTTCGTTTTGACAGAATTACAATATTTTTATTCAGTTTATATTTTTTCTGATGCTCCTCAAAAATTACTGAACTCTTTTATCATCTTGGAAGGAGAAGAAAATACTTTATACAAAAAAAAAGTTTACTTCCATTTCTACATGTACAAGTTTCATAAGCCGAAAAGATAGTTAAATATTAAAATATGAGCACATTTATTCCTATATATAACTTCTATATGAAGTCGGGATCTTTCACCACAAAACATTTATGTGCGTGAAAGATTTTCATTAGCATTTATAACTTTTTTCAGTCTCAATTTAAAACAACTTGAGTTGAAAAAAACAAAAAAACAAAAATCCCTAGAACCCTATGACTTTAGAAATATTTCAGGAATAACATCTTATACAGAAATAGATAAGTGGTCACAGAAAGGCTAGCATATACCACGTATACACACTTCAGCATTCTTACATTACTGGATTAGATAGGCTTGTAATCTAATTTAGTCTCCAACTTCTTGTTGTCGGAAACCTTGCGTACAGCCTTCATAAAGTCCTCCTCTATAACATAGTCGCGCTCATTGCGGATGGCAAAGAGACCTGCTTCTGTGCAAACGTTCCGGAGATCAGCACCATTGAAGCCATCAGACAGTTTCACAACAGCTTCATAATCTGGGGGGGAACGCATTTTTACAATAATCATATGAATTACAAGAAAAAAACAATGACAAAAACCAATAAAATAATATAATGAATAGGAAGAAGAAAAAAAAAAAGACCAGCAAAAACCTATACTCAGACTCATAACCAAAAATTTTATTATCTAGTTACATGTACTGCATAAAATTCATTTGGAACTTACCAATCTCTCCACGTTTTGTGATTGGACCAGAGTGGATTTTCAAGATCTCCAACCTGGCTTGCTCATTGGGAGAGCAATTTCAATCTTCCTATCCAGACGGCCAGGACGCAGGAGAGCAGGGTCAAGGGTGTCGGGGCGATTGGTGGCCATAATCATCTTGACCTGAAATTATGTAATAGAGTCAATAGATTGGTTCATCAACAAATATTTCCATCTGCAAAACTACTACATATACACAGTAAATCTATTTTGATTCATCTCATTACAATAGATCTATTTTGATTAATTTCAACTCAGTATATTTAGACTGTTTGAATTAATGCAACCCTAAGTCTCAGATGGTCAAGGTCCTCAAAGGGCAATTAAGGATCTTGTCTCTATCAAAAATCAAAATACAATAAAAAGGATGTGTGTTAGAAGCTAGTCTGTATCTGGTTAGATTAGGGAAGATTTTCTCATGATTGGGACAAATGTAGATAAATGGTAACTTTTAAAAGATAGAATCCCCTATTGGAGCAATATATCATTAATATAGGTTTAAGCAACATGTCCTTCACACACTCAAAAATAAATGACAGCAAAATTGGTAACATACCGCAATTTCAATTTTTACACAGTTGCTGAACTGATGGACAGAAATGAACCGTATTCATGTTGACAAATGTGGAAAAGGTATGAATGAGAACAAATATCTTCACAATACAAGAGATGTATTTTACCTGTTTCGATTATATCTTCGTCAGAAATACATCTATTTCTGACAAAGATATAATCGAAACCGGTAAAATACATCCCTTGTATTGTGAAGCTATTCGTTCTCATTCATACCTTTACCACATGATGGACAGTAAGTCGAGAGGTTATCATTGAATCTAACTATTCACTGAATTTAGGAGATAGCTTAATGTAATTACTATAGAACATCTCGAATGATGATGTTATCAACAGTGATCTTTCTAATAAACTATGATGCTGCAGATATACTAAAACAAGAAAAAAAAGGAAACACTTATATTATGTATTTTCTCATACCATTTACAGAGCTTACTTTGTGATCTACTTCATCCATCTCCAAAGAAAATGTACCGATTAAACCAAGAACAGAAAAAATAAGATCAACTGTAACCATGTTTTTGGGGGCAAGCATTGAAGCACAAACCTGGCCGAGAGAATCAAATCCGTCCATTTGATTTAGCAACTCCATCAAAGTTCTCTGGATTTCACGATCAGCTGATGTACCCTCAGAGAATCTTCTCCACCAATGGCATCAATCTCGTCCATGAATATAATGCAAGGTTGATGGTCACGTGCATAGTTGAACATTTCTCGGATGAGACGGGCAGACTCACCAATGTACTTGTCTACAATGGCACTGGACACAACCTGAAATAAAAATTAATATATAAATAATGAATGAATAATTTCCAGTATTCAGACAAGTATACACAGCAAAGTATTCTAGACAACAGACAGATACAAACAAGCAGCAAATATTCTGGCTTTGGGCAACACCTCTTCAATTATCTTATGACAATAACTGGAGGAAAAAATAAAACTAATCATCATCATCAAAGTACTAAAGCCAAAGAGCTGCAAGTGAAAGCAAAGGAACTATGCCAACTTACTTTCAGGAAGTTGCAGTCAAGCTGAGATGCGACAGCACGAGCCAGCAAGGTCTTTCCTGTTCCTGGTGGACCATAGAGAAGACAACCCTTGGGTGGAGAGATTCCTACACGGTGGAACAGCTCAGGGTTAAGAAGAGGAAGTTCGATGACCTGCACAAAAAATGGAATGCTCTTATTGTTGGGATATAAAACTTATAAAGTATAACTGAATAGTACTGATTATAGTATATAGTGCATATAAACAAATACTTATGAAAATTTATTCCTGGCGTTAAAAACAATTACCTCCAACGTCTACACAACACTTATTACATAAGTTGTATTATTTTCACTTCTGATTCAACTTCAATTGCAAATCAAAAATTCAGAAAACAAAAACATTGCTTCAAAGCTCCTCATCTACCACACATCATCAACGGAAATTTACATTTTAAATTTACTTCTTTCGTATACACTTAACCTCGTCCCCCCAAAAAAACTCAAATTTTGACCCAATCCAAAGACTTTAAATATCCTTTGACATTACCCAATGGCAAAGAACCTTACCTCTCTGAGTTCACGGATCTGCTCCGCCAAACCACCAATCTGATTGTACGTAACATCACCAGGGTCTTCGTGGCTCATGTTGTAGACTAGGGGTCAACTTCACGTGGCAAATACCTCATGATGGTCAACGTCGTCATGTCCAAAGCTACACGAGTACCAGGCTGAGGGATAATGTTTTGTTAGTTTTGTATTACCTCTTATTAATGATCTGTTATCCAACTAAGAAAAAGAAAAAAAAAAAAAAAAAAAAAAAAAAAAAAAAAAAAAAAAAAAAAAGGAGAGAGAGAGCGAGAGAGAGACGCTCTTCCTCTCTACAACTATCAGGTTCACAAAGAAAGCAACATTACCTTGAGCTTCCCCTTGTCTAGCTGCCGCCTGCATCCCACCACATATCGAGGTCCATTTGTTGCCTTCACAATGAACTTCTCCTCTGTGAGCTGCTTCAGGACCTCCCCAACAATCTGCCCGACGCTCTGCAGGGCCTTGAGGTCATTCTCGCTCTTGTCATACTGTTTGTCTAGTTCTTTCTTCTCCTCTCGTTCTGTTGGCAAGAAATGAAAAAATTAAATGTCTGCTCGGGTTTAATTAATGAGCAAAATGTACACTCTGAAATCTATATCCCATGAACATTCAGATTAACAAAAATCATAAGTTTAAAATCATTTTATTCAAATAAAACATAAATAAAACTCTGATTGCAGCAAACCCCTACCACACAATTCTTCACACCAAAGACAAACTGGATCACAGTTCATGCTAAAATATTATCATGTTTGTAATAATGCTCGGGCTTTACTTGGTGTTCCTTTTGTAAACAATCTGAATTTATCAGATAACAACAAAATGAAACAAATACATTTTTAAAATTTTGACATAAGAATCAGTCTTATTAAGTTAAAATAACTTTTTTTATGGAAATTCACAAAGAAATTAAGTTTTCCACTTAAAAATCATAGACAATAATTCACAAAAATTCCTAAGCCTTACTAATTTGTTCTGATAGCCAGTGGCGGAGTCACAGACAAAAAATAATACATGCAAATGATAGAGCAAGTAATTCTAAGAAACTAATCTCCTATGTACTTCCAATGTGACTCAAAAATAACAAAGTTACAGGTAAATATGTTTAAAAATTGCCACCTGATATCCTTTCTTTCCTTTTGTAAACAAAACAAAGATGCAGTTTCAAATTTGTACATTTATTGTAATAACAGATTCTTGCATAGATAAATCCCACATAACGTTACATGAAGGAGAATTTCTTTCTGCTCTAAAAGATATGACAATACAGCAGTAACACTGAAATAATATCAAATATTTACAATAACGAACGAAGTTATTACACTGCACAAATTAATGTGTATGACCCATATTACGGACAAGAGGGGATTGGAGAACTGCACGGCATTTTCAAAATGACGCAAATAAAGTTAATAAAATCCCGTTATTGTTTGAGCAACAATTAATGACATTTTATTGATATATCAATAGTATCTCCAGGAAACTTAGGAAACACATTTTCATATTTAAAAGTTACTTTTCTTCAATCATGATTTAATGCATTTGTATTGTACAACAATCAGTATTGTACAGCAATCAGGTGAAACATGCCTCCCGTTCCCATAAGTCTCAAGAAACATGATTTAAAGCATCTTTTGTGGTTTTGTTCTGTTTTCCTGTGTATAAATCATGCAAATTCTTCCCAAAAATAAAATGCAAGATAGTAAGATAGAGCTGGAACTTGGGAGCACCAAGTGGGCTTAAGCTTTGAATGGTGCTTTCCGCAATCTCTTTTCATAATTTGTGGTATTACCTTTTGTGTCTGCAGATTACTCCTTGTACCGACAACTGCAACTTTTTGTCCACTACAAAGAATGCCCTATTCATATTGCCTAACTTGGTGCATCCATACTGTAAAGATGAGCTAATTTTCTTTATGATATTGTGTGCACCAATATCCTCTAGTCTAACCCTCATACCCGTATCTTTATGGCAATGTCTTTAGATTTTCTCTATCAGTGCATTTGAGAAAGTAATGCATATCCAAATCTTTCATCAAAGTTACTTAGTGCTTTGTGGATTTTTCTGCTTTGTTATTGTTGAGATAATACATTGTAAAATACCTTTTTTTTTGTAAAATATAAATAAAAGATAAACTCGTTGACTTTACATTTCCCTTTGTGACAAATACATGTTCCTCCCAAAAGTTCAACAAGTATTCTATCAGTTATATAAACACTCACCCTATGACAAACATACATATTACTCGAAAAACAGCAATAAACCCTTACTATCATAATAACACTGGAAAAAAGAACATTCAAACTCGCGACCCACAGACGAACCCAGAGTCTCCATGACCAAAATCCCAATTTCTCCCTCCTATAAATTCCAAAACTCAAATAAAACCAAGAAAAGAAATCCCTGGACTCACGTTTCCTCAATTTCGAGTCGACCTCCCGGTGTTCAATGAGCCTCCTGCGATAATCGGAGAGAATTGTCTCCCTTTCGCCCGACATCTTTCCTTCGTCTGGCTATTTGTTGTTGTCATCGGGTGGACCGTCGACTTGTTCTTTTAGGCTGGCAGGAATTTTATGATTATTTAGATTTTTCTTTTGTAGTGTAGCGTTGTTTAGGTTTTGTTACATTAAATTTGGGTGAGATTTTGTTTAATCTTTTTCTTCTTGGGTTTTTGGGGTCTTCACTTTATATAGGTGATTTTGATGGTTTTTTCTTTTAGGATTTTGTGATTTTCTTTGGATTTGGAATATTGTTAAGTTGAATATAGAAATATTGTGTTATTATTCAGATACATTATTTTTGGGGGGTAGATATAGCAGTTGGTTGGATTTTAAGGCTGATAATTCAAAGTGTGAAAATTAAGTCGACGGGTCATGGGGTAAAGGGAGCATGAGCTTTCCTCGCCAAACAAATGTCATGCTAGTTTTATCAACGGCGATAATGAAGATTTTGTTAGTCACCTATGTATATATGTGGATTTAAATATCTATTGTCTTTATTCACTCAGACATTGGCACAAACGAATACATACAAACAAAAACAAACATACATACACACATACATGCACTTTATGTACACACACACACACACATACACTATCGCCGGTTTGTTAAAATTGTGCAAGTCCGATCCAAAGAATATTCGTATACTTAACTTCCATAAAAAAAATAAAAAATGCATATTTATCACTCTAAATGCATATCAACCGGGCAAATAGATAGTCAAATGTATATGCCAGATATATAGACAGATAGGCCTTTATTTCTGCATCTGTATTTATGAAGATTCATTGGGTCGATTCTAACATACTGGCTGTATATGCACACACACACACACACACACACACACACACACACACACACACACACACACACACACACACACATATATATATATATATATATATATATATATACATATATGTATATATATCATATATATATATACATATATGTATATATATCATATATATATATATATATATATATATATATATATATATTATACATACATATATGTATATGTATTCATATATATATATACACATATATGTATATGTATTCATATATATATATATATATATATATATATATATATATATATATATATATATATATATATATGTGTGTGTGTGTGTGTGTGTGTGTGTGTGTGTGTGTGTGTGTGTGTGTGTATATATATATATATATAATATATATATATATATATATATATATATATATATATATATATATACGTACGTACATAGACACAACACACACATATGTGTGTGTGTGTGTAATATATATAATATATATATATATATATATACATATATATACATATATATATTATATAATATATATATATATATATATATATATAATATATATATATATTATATATATATATATATGCACATACAGAAGGGTGTAAGTAGCAATCTGGATCCGGGGTGTCATTCTTTTGCTTGGACTTCTATGCCTTACCCCGCGGTTATCTCCTCAAAAGAGTAAGATTTTTTTCTGCATTTCTCTACGGTGTATTGGTGTGCCAAGCATAAGATCATTCTTTCATCTATACGTAAAAAATTGATCGAAGCGACTCGCGTGCCATGGACGTATCAAGCACCCTGGCTTCTTGCACTGCTTGGCGCGCAGTTACATGCTCTTGAAGGTAACGATGTCGCAGATGGTAAAATTCACTCTGTAAGAACTCATAATACGAACATTTTTGCCAAGTTGAAACTCCATAGTGTCAAGTTCTTCGTGCTTATATTAAGGCTCTCTTGTCACCGTTTTTCTTGTTGATTTCCTTTTGTGAAGTATTCTAATTCAATTTAAAAAATATATAATCCGACCCCCTCCAACTGTCACATAATGATAATTTTTAGGGTTCTCATATTACTGAATTCTGGGACTGTGACATTGTAGTACTGATAACTATGAAAAGTACGAGGATAAAATCCGTGGCTGTGAACCTGAGGACAATATTGGAGCATACACTTTGCGCAAATGTGCACATACAGGTTATGGTAATTTTCTGTTTTGGGCATACTGACTCTAATGCTCAGCCTCCCCTCGTTGGAGTCTGCGCTGGATATGGACACGAGCTGCTGAATGAAATGCTGACCACACAGCAAATTACTTTCTGTCCATGATCTGGCGCTTACAAGTTAAATGAGGTTAGAAGCCGTACGTAAGCCCCTTATTAAAGCTCATTTAAGCTCCTCCCAGACTCGCAAATGATAAGAGCGGATACCTGATACCAAACCAAGAGGCACCCTGTCAGTGCCTGAGGCCCTGGCTGCTTTTCCACAGACGACTTCCAGACATACAGTCAACAAGAATTTGCTCTTGGTGTTGACTGGAATGCATTGCCGTAAAATTGGGGTTTGGATTCCGGAGCCACAGCCAACTCAAACAAAACTCGAGTGTTGGGCCAGACCGGGCTCAGGCTTGGATTTTCTGTCCAGATCTGCAACTTCCACACACAAGACCCCAATGTAGGTCCGGTAAAATAGTCACAAAATTCAGGCCAACACAGACTTGAAGAGAGTCTGAAACCCAAGTCACATGTCCGCTTACCTCTAAACATAGGGACCATGACAATATATATACATATATATATACTTTTTTATGGTAAAGCATTACAAATCCTGAGGAGGTTCTTACTATCAATTCGTTCCTCTAAATATCAGAGTATGATCGTTACCCCCAAGGACTAGGACACACCAAAGTCCCTCTTGCAGACAAAGGAGCTCACTTAAGGAAGGACCTAAAGCTTCTCCGCTCTGACTATGAGGGCAGGAAGTTTAAAATGATCCAACTAGGCAGAGCTTATTATTAGGAGACAGCGTCTGTATCAAATCAAACAGTAGCAATGTGTGCTTCAAGAACACAACGAGTACAAATGGAAGCGAATGGCATGCCCCAATTGTTACGAAAAGGTATTTTTATAGCCTCACTTCCTTTAGCAGAAAAAAGTGTGTTTCAGGCGAAAATGCAAAAATGTCCTGTTTCCCTAGGCCATCATGTATGGGGATAGAACAATGAGAAATTTTCTTCTTCCTGAGGGAAATGATCCTCCTCTCAAAAAGACCTCTACACACAAACGAGCTTTCATCTATATTCTAAGAGTACCACAGAATCTTTTCCAAGCAGAACAGCCTACAGATGCTGCCTTCTCTCTGAAGAAACGGACACGTAAAAGCAGTTCTTGATCGCCATGGACAGGGGCTGGATCCCTGTCATACAATTTCCCACATGGAACTGTAGAGTGAACTTGCCTGTGTGACTCAACAAAGCCTGGACGACTTCCACGCTGCCTTGAAGTTGGGAAAGAGTTGACAGTAATCTCTGTCATGAAATCAACGGAGCAGGGTTAGTACCAAGCAGGGCAAGACCACAGGAGAAATAGTAGTGAGCTAGCTCCTTCAGAAGTGAGGACATCCCCACGAAAACATCCATGACTTCACTAAGGGAATGAGCGTATTCCATAGTTTAGCACCCTCCTGAATACACGGAGTACTGTTGCTTTTGTGGTTGTTTTCCGAATTGGAGAACAATATTGGATTATGAGACGCCGTCTGAGTGTGCACTGTATATGACAGAGAAATGGCAGAAACGATAGTAAAGAGAAGAGGTAACATGTGTTTGCAAGACCATCATTGCAGGATTAGGATGTACTTCATTTAGTAGCAATGAGAAGTACAAATTCTAGCACAGAATGGTGTTTATATAATGACAGTAAAGAGAAGAGGTAACATGTGTTTGCAAGACCATCATTGCAGGATTAGGATGTACTTCATTTAGTAGCAATGAGTACAAATTCTAGCACAAATGGTGTTTATATAATGACAAAAAGCAGAATGATCGTATGATAGAAGTGAAAGAACACAAAGGAACAATGATGAAGGTTTAGATCATACTTGGTACTTTGAAAGAGACAAGGGATTCAAGAGCATGGGGTTGGGATGTTTGAGTCCAAGATAGTGCAGGAGAAACTTTTGTGTGAATCAGAACATAATGGTGTATGCAAATATGTGATCAACAATATGAAGAGCAAGAAAAATATTAGGGTGAAGTGAATAAAGCTATGGAAACTAAAGAGGAGCCAAGGTTTTAGCAAAGAGCAGAGGCAGAGGTGAATGGAAGCAGTTAGATGTAGATGAAACATTCCAGGGTGGAATAGAAGTCTGTTGAATAAGATCAGATATGTGGAGAAAGGGAGACTTTGTGAGGGAATGATGCAATTCAAGAATAATACCTTAAAAGAGAAGAGCTTTCCATGTCCATGAACAGGACATGGCAGGAAATCGAGCGGAAATTTGAATGCATCAGGGAACCAGAATATAAACGCGCAAAGATTGGAATAAAAATATAAGAAATATAAGAAGACTTACAGAGTGTGCGTCTATCAAGAATGATATAAATGGAAGTAGAGAAAACTAAAAAAATGAAGAAAAGACAAACATACCATGCTTTAGATGTTTCTAGTAAGGACGGGAGTTGTTAAATGAATTTCAGGGAATAGAGGAAAGAGTAGCTGCATTATAGAGGAGGTTGGCTTGAAATTATAGACCATTACTTAAAGATCTAAGGTATTGGTTCCAAAGTGGTCCTTCTGGGTCGGTGGAAAGATCGGACGAAGCGAAGTAAAAGGGTTTGGTGGGGGGGAAAGGATGGCGTTAGGAGCAATTAAGGATTTTTTAAAATAAGTCTGACTGGCAATATGGTTAATGGTTGAAACAAATAATGTGCTAGACATCGAAGGTCTTATAGCATTATGGAAAAAAAAATTCTGGCGAAAAGGAAAAAAAATAGTTAACAATTAAAGTAAAATGTGTTAGATGCCAAAGGTTATAGTGTTAAAGGTTAGTATGGTAGTGAAAAGAGTAAATAGGGGGTACAAATGAAGTAAAGCGGAGATTAGTAAAGGAAACGGTTAAGTGAATGGGGCGATTGGATAAGAATGGAGTGTATCTATGGCTGAGGAAGCAATAGGAACATTGTTTAAATAACACTGGCAAAAGAGCTATTATGAAACAAACAACGAGGCTCATGGAGGAGAGGATAGGGTGTGTTGGGAAAGTGTGTGAGGAAGAGAGGAGGAGGGGGATGGATATCGGTAAATACATTGAATGTAGGATGTAAAAATTCTTGGATGTCTTCAAGAGTTTCTGGAGGGGAGTTGAGTGAGGAGAAGAGGGGATAGATATCCGAGGAGCAGAGGGAAAGGAGGGTGTAGGAGAGGATGTAGTTGGCAAGGGTGGAGTGGAACGTTTAGGTTGTCTGGTGTAACAGGTTAAGTGAGAAGGAGGGGAGGGTCGGCATCGGAGAAGTGATAAAGATTGGAGTATCTGGATCTAGACGGCACATAGAATTTGACTGAAGGAGAGGAGGAGTAAAGGTAGGATGGTTCGGGGTAGAGGGAAGGGATACGGAGACATCTTGAGAAGATAGGAGAGGGACAGAGCGAAGGATGGTTTTGGAATAGGTAGAGAGAGAAGAAATCTTGTCTGTGTGCTTCTGTCTGGCCTTACTTGAGGCCTAGTTTGAATCTGAGAACTGCTACCCGATTCGAGTTTATAGGAGGGCAGCTCCTATAAAATACATTATGGGAGTCGTCACAATTGGCACACATGTGACTGAGCAGAGCAATTTGAACGGTCATGACCAGGTTGGCATATAGAGGGCAGCGGGCTGTTAAGTAAGTGTTTGACTAGGTGGCCAGACGCCAACATTTGACATTAACGAGGAAGGGGCCGATATGGTTGGACAGGGAAGGGCACTCCACCAAAATAAATATTATTGGGGAGGTCACGTCTACAGAGGCTAATCTTGGCAATATTGGGCCAGATGTAACCCTGACAAGGTATGAAGGAGCGGAACGACTACGAAAGGAACTTTGCCTACTTGTATTTGGGGACATTGTTGGAAGAGAAGGGTATTAGCATAGTAAGGAGTTGTTGGAGAAATCATGAAGAATCGAGTACTCAAAACTTTGGCAGAGGTAGAGGCAATAGACGAGGCGGAAGATGGTATATGTACTAATGTGGGGAGGAGGACAATATGGATGAAGTCTTATAATGAGGGGGGAGGATGTAGAAAATGAAGACTGCAGTAGGAGATCGATTGGAGACTGTTGGGAGAGAGGACGGGGTGCATTCGGAAGGTTGAGGTGTTAGTATAACTGGTCGGGAAACCAATTAAATTAAATTTAGATAGGCTTGTTGATGAAGGCACAAGCCTTACTGCCCCTAATAAAAGTAAAAATACCAATTATTGGCCGTGGTGAGCCTGAAATATATTGGGAAGTAAGTAATAATGACAAGAAAATAAATGTGCTAGAAATCAAAGGTCATATAGCATTATGTTTTGTATTGTGTTGGGAGGGTTTTTAAAGTTCATTATTAGAGTTAAAATGTCAATTTTTGATGGTCATTTATTGTATGATAGTATAGCATTTAAAGGAGTAGAGGGAGAGAGTAGATGGGTAAGATAGGTATTGATGAAAAGAGGAAGGGTTAAGGACAATGGATGGTTAGATCGAATGAAGGATATTTATGCTCTGAGCAAGGAGAATAAGTTATCAGAGAAAAGGTGGGGGATTCTGTAAGGCTGTCTGACAGGTTGGGAGGTTGGGGAAGAAGGGATATGTGAGGGAAAGTAAGGATATGGGCTTCGATAAAGTGAGGGCAAGATATTAGGATATGTGGGACAGAGATAAAGACGTTGCATGTAAATATATTGGGAAAAGAAACAGTCTATCCTTCAGGGTCTCCAGGAGTGGTAAGGGTTAGGCTATTAATCAAGGGAATATTGTGCCCATGGCTCCTAGAGGCTGTTCATAACTGACACAAAGCAAGCCTTTCATTCTTTCAGCACAGCTCACACCTTAGTGGACAGAAGGGATGAAGAGGAAAAGGAAAGGGGGAGAAGAAAAGACCAGGCAAAATTAGTTGAGGCTGAGCCCCAAGATAGGGTCAATTGCTTCCCTTGGGTCTCAAGTCTATCCCTGTCTCCTAATCCCCACAACAACGAGCAAGGGATCGGGGGACTTTTCCGTATATTGCAACATTTTTGACATTTAATAAATCCTTGGTCCCCTTCCTTCTATCCATAACAGCAGAATGTTAAATCGGTTTAAATAAAATAGTATGCTTTCCTTTACAACGATATAGGCCTATATGAGAGTAATTCAAACATTTACACCAGATGTTTATATTTATTTACAATAATGAGCCCTTTTAGATGGTTCCTACCCTCTACTTTGAAAATCACAGGACTAGATGTTTAGCACTTTGGTTTATGTTTTCACCAAATCTCACTTCATGACTTTTATTTGACAAAACACAATAACACAAGCATATACTTTGTCAGTAAAAAACATTCTCTAATTTACAATATATTACTATGAAGCTGAAGGGAATAAAACTTACATTTCATGTATTTTTTTTCTTTGGAGTTTTATTAAAAACAAAAACATGTAGATATAATTTTCACATATCAAAAAGTATAACCTTATACTCCATGCTGACAACACGGCACTGCAGAACCTTCTTTCACCCGACTATAAAATACTTCAGGTGCACTTATACTAATGGAAAACTTTTGGAAAGGAGTATCACAGATAAATACATATACGCCTATGAAAAATGCAGCTTGTAAATGCGAACAAAAAAGTGTGGGATATCCTACTACAACTACCTGCATTTTCCAGAAAAATTGGCCTAGTCCTTTAAAAAACAATTTAAAAAGAGAAAACATATGTAAAGGTTTCAATTTTGTCACTTTTATTATATTCAGAATAAAGATGCCATAGAAGGGGTGGGGAAATCATTCATAAAAATGAAGATGCTTGATCAGTCTCGGGCCACACTTATTCCCAGGATGGTGGAGGAAGGTCAAATATTTCCCCCATTACCGGTTCCAACTTGTTCACTTTTTCAGGCTCTGTGGAAGAGAGGAGTATCATGATAATTAGATATTTACAACACACACTTGTTAATATTCAGATAATTTAGTTATGACAGTAATGGATGTAATAACCCAAATAATTGTTAACATCTGACCAGCCAAGATTGTGGTCTTGTAATAGATTTCACTAACCATCAAGGTAATAGATCCCCAAATGAATGGATTTTAAACATTTCCCTACTAAGTGAAAGGATTTTTTTTTCTTTTTTTTTGAAAAAGAGCATGAAAAGAGAGAAAGGAAATAAGGAATAAAGACGGAGGGAGGGGGAGAATTTTTTTTTTATATTTGATGGCACTGGGGATGGCATGTATGTACATGCCAGGACCACCGAGTTTAATTTATTAACAGTCTTTACACATGGATGGCTCTATCAGTAATTAAGTCACCAATGCGCAAATTGCTAGTACTACCTACCTCACCTGTTTACCCTTTTCCTTGATTTTTTAAAATACTTTCTTTTATCTTCTTATAATTATAATGCCTACAATAATATCAGCACCAATACTGATAGCATTAGTGAAAGTAACCTCTTCCCCAAAAAAAACAAGTAAAGGAAATTAGGTGAGGTCACAAGGTCAACTAATTGACTAAACACTTGTGGAGCAGTCTTTGAAACATTACACAAATTACTAGAGTGACCACTACATCCTCCTGGCAATACTGGGATGAAGATGGAACGACAATACAGTTCTAAAACCCTACCTCTCATGGTGGACATGAGGGAGAATGACCTTGGGGTGACTTGGGGATCTTAGAAGGAGAGAGGCTGCTCAACTCGGGTCGTCTGCACACTTCCCAGAATCTGACGAGCTTGCTGATGTGCTGGTCTGACAAGTTAAGCGAGGCTGGAAGATGTCGGAGTAATCTGGGGGGGAAGGAACAGAAGGAATCATTTGAAATTACAATATAATTGTTCTCAATATGAACAAATATGAAGGAAAAAAAATTATCAATGGAAAAATAACGGATAAAAAAATATAAAATAACACAAGAAACCAATGAAATGGTTACATGCTAAATAAGGTACCCAAGAACACGAAGACACATTATCCAATTAACACTGGCCATATTACCACAATCTAAACTGACTGACTCGGCCTTTCTCACCTTCCTTTTCCTTGATCTCTGGGAAGAACTCAGGCTCCAGATCTGCGTTGGGTTTCTGTATTATCTGTGGCATGGCTGTGGAACATCAAGAATAATTGCTTCTTATCACTGGATTATTGAGATTGTTCCATTCACATCAATTTATATAGAACTCATGAGTGCACACTGAATTTTCACAAAGTTGTATGTATGCATTTAATTCAGGTATGCCTGTATGACCATTAAAAGATTACATAGCAGTTTTATTTCAGTTCATATGAATTTTGTGACATTATACATACTTGAATATACAAATTGTTTTTAATTGCTTAATTTTTAATCTGTGCAAAAAATCATGAGACACTAAGCATAAAAGGGGGTAGGATTAGTTAATATGTACTAAATGAACTTCAAGTGAAATTGCACTATTTTACTTACATGTAGCAAGAACTGTCTGCTTTTGTGTCTTCTTCACTGCACTACAGAAACCATGGCGGTTGCTGATGTCTCCAAAAGAACGTGGCTTCATGTGAGATATATTTGACGTCTGACTGAACTTCTTCTGACTGTGAACTGCTAGACCTTGTGATGTTCCTGCTCAAATAAATAATTAACAACAAAATTGAGGGGATACGGGAGAGAAAGAGAGAGAGAAAGAAAAGAAAAAAGAAAAGAAAAGGAGAGAAGGGAGAGAGATGATAATAAAATGGGCATTAATATTCACTTCACGTGTACTGCACACCTAACTGCAAATTAAATCAACATTGCAATTTATCAAGCTTTGTTATTTTTTACTTTTTACTTTAGTTTCAAAATGAACAGAGAAAGCTAAAGAGGAGGACGAAGAGAAAGGAGTGAAGCTAGAAGAAGCAAAGAAAAATAGAATCTTTGGACTTGCCTTGTGCACTGCGAACTCCCAGTCCCATGTGTGTCTTCATCTTGCCCGCTGAGCAATGGAATTTTCCTGGTCATTTACTGGTACTGTGGCAGTCGACATGGTGAATCTGGAATCATTTTAAAGTCATCACCCTGCTACATAAACAATTCTGTATCAGCGATGGATAAGGGCTCCAACTATCCAAAAGAGTACACACAGTGACACAAACTATAAGGTCTAAACTCAAGCTAAAGGCCGATAAACCTCTATCTCATTCAATCTACCAAGATACGAGACCTCCTTGGTGATCTACTGCCCAGTAAGTGACTGGTCCAAACTCTCTCTTGCCAGAATATGTGTGGCACTGGTCTGTTAACCTCTGCTGGACATAAGCCACTATTTCTGCAGTTCTATTCATAACTTCAATAAATGATACAAGCATACCCTAAATACATAAATATAAACAATACATCAGCTATTCATTAGGATTATTTACATATGAAACTGATCATTGCTAAAAAAACTGGATCTGACTTTTGCAAAAAAAATGATCTGAATATGATAACTAATTTTTTTTTCTTTGTGCCTCAATGCAATAAAAGTAAAATGTACCTCATAAAAGTTTTAACCTTGAAATATATGTATATAAAAAACTATGCTTGAAGTCAACACAAAATATGTCAGATCTAAATGGGCCAAGTTTTACTGGGTAGTTATTCACCGTCATTGAATTTCTTCCAAAAGCGAACATAATTCATAACCTTTCTATGACTTCATAATGCAAGACCTAGTACTTGCAGTTGCATATCATAACCTTCAGGATAAATACTTCAGCATGATATTGCCAAGAGCAATGCACAGAGATAGAGGGGTATGGACACTGCTCTCTCATAGAGCAGGCCTCATATTTACCACAAAATAAGGAAAATATCCACTGCATATCACCACTCGGAGACTAAATCCAAAACCCTCTCACAGAGTTCTTAAGGTTACATTTCTATAAGTTAGCCTGAAGTGCTAATAAAGAGGCTACAAGGGGGGTTGTCCCCCTTCTACGGAATAATAAAAAGGTGGGAAAGATTGGCATTTTGGGTTTGCATGATGCCCTGGTTTTGGGACACGGTTGTGTGCTTAAAGATATTTTGGAAGCCACTCTTCGAAGAGCAACATCCTCTGCAACGGAATAATACTACAAAAATTCAAATGGTATACTAAAATAAGGCAAGGGGATAAGAACATTGTATTTTTGAAAATGACAGTCCTCATGTTAGGACTTCTTACAATTGTGAAGAATCTGGCTTAAGAAAATTGTGCCAAGAACTGATTGGTGTTACAAAATTTCTTTCAACATACGACCATTAGTTTCGAGTGGGTGTGTCGTTCACAGTAACAAATCCCTTACTTCAAAAGCAAGTTGTAGTGTATTGTAGAGTAAATAAAATAGTCAGCCTTTAACATCTACAAATGATGTACTACACTGGAGGAAAACATTATAAATGTATAAAAGTTTATGACAAAAATTACTGCTTAGAAAATATAAAACCTAAAAATAATAATTATAGTATTGATTGGAAAAATATTTAAAAAATTGTAGAAATATTAGAGTTTATGCATAGCACTAAACACAAATAAGTAAATATGGCGAGAAAGACTTAACAAATGTAGAAGAAAAACTACAGTAATAGCTATAAAAGCATATCAAGCAATCTACAGAAAGCAAAAGCCACACCAAAATCGATTATCGAAGTCTGCGCACACATACTCTGAAATCCAGACTCTAACCTCTGCTTCTCACCCTCCAGGGAAAGCATAGACAGTCCTGGGTGTACATATAGTGACATGACAGTTTGCTGACTAAATATGCAATTACTCTCAATCAAGAAATGTCATCAAATATACATGAAGGGAGTTTGCCAGGAAAATGGAGTCCATCCCATCCCTCTCAATATTTTCCTCTTATGAACACTACCATAAAAGTTCATTTGAAAATCTATTAAGGCAGACCCTTGAACGTGGGCATCTATCTCACCACCTCTCATGCTAATGGTCGGCAGCATCAATGTGGCTACATTATTTCTAACATCATTTTCATTACATTTCTCACTTTTTACTGTAAATATGTATTTAATTTAATTAATATAAGTATTGATATCGTGTGTACTTTGGAAAAAGCAACATATTTCTAATCAAAGCCTACAGAAAATAAGTTCCTTATACAATAACCTAGGTATAGAATAACTAAATAGCACAAGCAACAAGTTAAAAAGACAAAAGATAATTTTACACAATAGTTCTCAATAATGGATTGTGACAATTTTAATATCAACTGATTTCTCTTTGCTATCCACTATATAGGAATTACTGCATGGAAATACCCCAATGACAACACTCTTGGCCCCAATAGGGTATGAAGGTACCAGGGAAATTGTGGGGTAAAATATGCATATACACAGAACAACTCACTATATTGTTTAAACCCCCCAACCCCTGCAATGGAACAAAAAGAATCCTCCACATACTCACAGCAGGAAAGAGCGTCTGACCGACACGCAGGAGTGCCTGATGCCATGTCTGTCTAATGCTCTCTCCTGCCGTGAATATGTGGACGATTTTGTTTTTCTGGGTGGGGGCTGGTGGCAGCAGCCCTACATAAAGGAAATGCACGGGACACAGCCCCTTCATTAGACAATCTAGCAACTGATTCTGTATATTTTTTGTATTTTATACCGCAATAAGAATGTGGAGGTTTAGGAGGCGGTTTTCTGTGCAATAATTTCTATATTTGGATACAGGAGAGAGAGAGGGATTCATTGATACTAAAGTCATAGTGATTGATTAAGCAGAACTATTGTGGGAAATAGCAAATATGTATAAATATATGTATATACATATATTATATATTATATGTATATCTAAAATAAAATTGAAAAATTATCTGAAAAGGGTAGTTTTACAGAATAAATCTTCCTCACGGATCACGACTTAGAATCAATGGACTTCTCTTACTCTCTAAAATCACATGAAAGTTACCAGGGAAATTGCGGGGTAAATTTTGAATAACATACATAGAATCAGTCAATATATCTAAAGCAGGGGGCTGCTGCCCTTAAATGGAACACAAGGAATCCTTTACATATTCATGGCAGGAAAGAGCATAAGACCAGGCAAGTCTATCTTACACTCTCCTGTCATGAATACCTGGAGGACTCTTAGTTTTCCTGAGCAAGGGTTAGGGGGTAGCAGTCCCCCATGGGAATTGCATTAGACAAAGAGGTAACCGATTCTGTGTATTATTCGTATTTTACCCCCATAATTTCCCTGGAACATCCCCCCCCCCTGCTATTGGTCCAAGAATGTCGGGGTTTGGAGGTTTCTGTGCAACAGTTTTTATACGTTTGGATAGCAGAGAATAAGAATAATCCATCGATGCCAAAATCGTCGAGGATCGCAGATCTTTTCTGTAAAATTACCCTGAAAAGTGGCCAGATTCATTCAGCGAAAAGTTCCCTGCACTTCCTTCCTTGATAGTGGTTTTCTGGATACTCTTACATCATTTTCTATTCCTGCGCTTCCTACACCATACACCAACATACCACAACTTCAGAAAAATACAAGCGACTCAGAAATTCCCCAAGACCAAAACAAAATAAATGAAATAACTGCAAGCGTTAATATTTCCCACATTCTGTTTACCCAGAGAAACCAACCCAAAATACTCAATATTTTCGCTAAATAACTTACAGTTTCCTCTTCTTTCCCCACAGACTATCGGGAAAGCACCTCGTGGACGTCCACCGAAGAGGAATGGGATTAATTTGCAGAGAGTGAACGAGAAATGAGCGAAAAACACGCGACGAAAAAGTTTAAATTTCTCGCCCAG